AATTAATGTTTTGTGACTTGTTTGGAAGTTAATGACTAAGTTTTGAAGTTATAAGCTTAATTTAGCCCGATTTAATAGGTCAAAAAGGATGAAGATTGGGTAAGAAGTGTGTTACGATGGATAGAAGTGATAAGAGGATTCAATAAGATAATAAGCATTTAAGACAGGTAAATGAAAGTATTTGGATGCTTAACTATGATAGTTAGTACATTTAGTTAGTTCTATAATTGACTTATAGTGCTAATTTGTGTAGATTAATGTAATTTGTGCTTTGTTTAGCAAGAAAAGAGGTTAAGGATTTGATTAGCGCCATGGGTGACATTTCTATTACAAAAAGGTTGAGGTAACTGGATAATTTATTATGTCTTCAAATAAGTTTAACTATTTATAACTAAATGCTAGTGTAATTTATGATTGAAATCATTGTTATGTTCAGCATGGCATGTTTTAATGAGTTTTAGCATCAAAAGAATTTGATTATAAATTGAAATGATTTTTTAAAATGTTTTCTTAAAGTATGTTATTGTACAAATATGTGTGAATGTGACTATATGTATGTAAAAGTGGCATGATCATGTGAGGGTGGGAGTTCACCCTGAATGTGTTGAGATGTGTGAAAACAAAAATTCATATGATTGAGTTAGCACTATGGGACATTTGGTGCAATATCATATTTGACACTGTTACTATGGGACATTTAGGTAGTCTGGCAACTCCTTAATGTAATATTCAGAAAATTTTAAGACTCAAATTTATTTTTAAAAAATAAAATATCTATAATTAAATTAAAATTAAGAATAATTTAATAGAGGTCCAGAGTTTGAACTTTTACTCAGCAAAATTTTAGTTTTATTTTATTTTTAACTATGAAAAAATTATCAAAGTTGACCCAGGCTTTTGTGCTATAATAAAAATGTTGGGCCCTTTCTTATAATTTTTTCCAAAATATTTTAAGATTAGTTAAGCTGAAAGTTAAAACAGGAAAACAAAACAAATTAGAGAAAGAAGAAACCAAGAAACCAAGAGAGATGAGGAGGAGAAGAAAGGGGGAAGAGAGGGGATTTGGGAGGCTTTGTGGGCCTTGCAGGCTCGGCTACACGATAGATAAACTCCCTACTTTAATTCTCTTCCTTCCCTCTTGATTTTCTTGAGTTTTTAGAAGAGAAAAATTCTTTATTTTGATTCCAAAAGCTTAGTTCTTGTAAGCTTTGGTTTCCTTCAGTCCTATGGAGGTTCTTTTGAGTTTCTATATGGTTCTCTAATATTTTAAATAGGTAATTGGATGAAAAGAGAGGTTTTGGGCATAAATTCAAATCCTAAGAGATTGGATTTCACTCTTTAATAGTTTTAACCTATTTATTTGGTTGTAATTGTGCTATTTGAATCCAATAAGATTTAAATTAAGCTTTGATTTTCATTATAAGGGCTAATTATGAAAGTTAGCGATGCTAAGTGAAGGTTTTTAATTGATTAAAAATTATATAGTTTAAAAATTGGCCTAGTGGTGGCTAATAAATGGTTTTGGTGGTTAAGTGATGCTATGTGACTAGTTGGTTTAATACATGGACCATTGGAATGGATTATGGATCATTGAATCAAATTGTGCGGTATGAGTTATAGTCTTCTTTTATGTTATTTGCCATAAAAAGTGATGTGGATCACTTATATGTTGTAGAAAATTGTTGGTGGAACTTATTGAAAAGTTAAGGAACAAGCCAAGTCTTATTTTATATAAGGAGAACCCTTTTAGTACCAAAAGGTTGAGATAACAGGGAAATTTATATTTCTTATTGTTTTGTTTAGCTATTTTTGAGTAGATAATATTATCTAGCATGCATTACATGTTTTAAACAATTGAATGCAAATAAAATGTGTTTTAGAAGGGTTTATGGGGTATTGTTTTAATAATAATGCATCTATGTTTACTATCTATTTAATAATGATGTGACTTATGGAAATAAGATTATTAGCATGCATTATGATCATAAAAAAAAATGAGGAGTTGCACTTAAGGAAGTGCAACTAAGTTTGGTACCGTAGATAGGTTAAGGAATTGCTTAAGGGATGAATTATGAGTGTTATACTACATTGAGTGTTAAAGTGGTCAATACTTAGGAAAGATAGAAAAAGGGTAGGAGGCATGATCTTGGTGGGGAGTTCACCAATGGGGAGATGTGGTCTTGTGATATACTATGGATCACTGTCAGTACTCAGTGTTTCCTTTTGTATTGTGGGCTCAGTATATTAAAGTGGTTAGTGGATTGAGTATTCGACACCTCTCAATGGGAGAGGGAATCCGGCATATGAAGTGTAAGGTTGAGTGCCTAGGCCAAGGTAGCCCTCACATGGAGAGTAAGTTGGGTTGGCTCTAGGAGGGAGTTAGTTTTGACTGCTCAGGATTCACATTGAAGGGGCACAGGCAGTTTGGTGAATCAGATCCTGCCTTAGTTTATATGTTGTGCCTGTGGAGGTACAGTAGGTACAAGGTTTATCTATAAGCTAAAGAGTACCAGGGGGCATTCTGTTGGTTAGGAAAAGCTATATCGACCTATCTCTTGCATTCAAGCATTTTAATTGGTTAATTATATGTTATTTTGAATCCATCATTTATTTACTTAACTATGGCTTTCCTTGCAATAAAGAATATCAATTTCTCTATTATTGAGACTATGGTTGTCTCACCCTTTTCTTTATAATATTTATAGGTCTAAACAAAGGATCCAATAGTAGATGGAAAAAAGAGCCAAGCTAGGAGTTTGCTTGTGGATTGTAAAGATCTATAACCCCTTTCTTTTGAGCAAGTATATTGTAATATATTTAGGTTAGGGTGCCAGTAGGATGTGACTATATATATATGTGCATATGTGTGGATTGTGTGCTTGTGTATGAATTTTTACCGCTTGTAGACTTGTGTTTAGGAAACTTAGTTATGATATATAGTTTTGATGGATTCATTTGATAGACCAAGTTTTTACTACAAGGAAATATTTATTTTGGTGTATATATATGAATATGTGTGATTCTACTCGCAATTGCAAAGTAGTTGCATTGCAAATTGTATGCTAAAGGCAAACATGTATCTTGGATAGAGAGAGTTGGTGCATGGGCCCCATAGGGAGTTTTGAGCCAAGTAAAAATATTTAGCATATGCATTTATATAAATACATGATATTTGGATTGATTTTTTACCACTCTTGTATAATTTATGCATTTTGGGGGTATAGAATCCATTTTGAAAAATGACACCCGGGTAGTCAAATTTTGATATAAGGGGTTTTTCCATAATTTAAATGTTTTATCAAGTACTCTTAGTCCTATTTGACGTGTCCAAAGTGTTCCTATAGGTTTGTGACCATTAGGATGAAATTTGGATAATTTGAAAAATAATTTTTACCAAAAAGCTACACTTTTGCATCTGGGTGTTCAAATTTTAATTCGACCGTTGGATTTTCCTAAAATTTGGGTCACAAGTAAAAATTTTTATAATCTTTGTGTGAACTTTGGAATCACTTTGATCGGACATTGTACAGAAAAATAGTGCACTCCGAAAGTTAATTCAGATGTGCTGTCATGACAGCTATTTAATGCTGTCATGACAGCAAAGTGGCTCAATTTGTAACATGTGTGAATTTCAATCCGTTCATTGGATCTTTTCAAAATTTGGTATGCTAATAGTAATATTTAAAAGTGACATATGGGCTTTTGAATCGCTGATCGGAGGTTAGATGATGAAATTGTGCACTCCGAAAGTTGGTCCAAAAGTGCTGTCATGACAGCAACTTTATCCAATCTTTTAGAGTGTCTAAATTTTAATCCGACCGTTAGATCATTTTTTAATTTGGTACACTATTAGTAATCATTAAAAATGACGTGTGAACTTTAAAATCACTTCCATCGGAGGTCGAATGGCGGAATGGTACCTCCCAAAAGTTGGCCCGGGAGGGCTGTCCTCATGACAGCATCTTGTTATCTCATTTTCGTCTAGCTTGCTTCCATGCACTATAGGTAGGACTTATAAATATTTCTAAAGGCTTTTATTTTGTGATGGTGTATTTGTTTATTGATTTAAATGATTTGTTTCCTAAGTTAGTTTTAGAATCAACTCCTTAACCACACTTAGTTTATTTGAATTATGTGATTTTTGGATAACACTCGTGGCAAGTGTTATACCTAGTGCTCGTGAGGGTATAGTAAAAAGTCAATGACACTCTTGTTGTATGTGTGGAAGGGGGAATTCATAGTCCAAAAGTGGAATAGAATACCTTTGGCCGGGTGTTTCTACCGTTGTTTGAGATAATGGTGATAGCATTTGAATGACGGCTAGGGTTTAGAAGAGGTGAAGTGGTGGAAGAAGAGAGATGCAGCTCTCCATTATCCACTTCCCATTTCAGATTCAAGAAGCTTGGTTGAAGATGTAAACGGGATTGGAAGAAAGGTTGGACAGTGATGAGTTGATTGATTATTGCGAGTGGGGGTTTGCAAGTGGTAGAGCAATTATGTTTTCAAATTGAACCCTTTCTTGAGAGAAACAAATATAGCTTATATTTAAGACCATGGAATCTTATAGGCTATGACCTATAATACTACTAAAAATAGAAAGGATAAATAACTAAGCCATAAGAATAATTATTCCCTAATCATAATGGTCAAAACTAGTAAAACATTGACATATTTCAATTTTTTTAAAGAAATATTGGAGCAAACACAAATTCTGGATGGCCAAATTAAATTTGGATTGAACCTCCCTCATTTCATCATGCAAAAATAAAAAACAATAAAAAATAACAAAGTGTGAAAAATAGGAGAAAAAGTAAGAAAACGAAGGAGTAGCTGAGCCACGACTTCTTTAGAAAAGATTGTATGGTTGAAAGAAGTTGATGCAGAAGAAGAAGGATCTTCTTCAATGCTACAATTGAAAAATGGAATAGGCAACAAGAGAAATCATCAATAGAAAAGAGATGAGATGATTCAATTAAACTAGCTTGAAGAAGATATAAATATCCATAAAAAAAAAATCATTATTAATATGGCTAGTAGAACAATGACGATTCAGCTGGTTTTTCTTCTAATAACTAGCCTCTTTGCTTCTTTTGTATTGCTCGTTCATGGTGAAGATCCTTACCTCTTCTTCACATGGAAAGTCACTTATGGCACGGCCTCTCCTTTAGGACATCCTCAACAAGTCATCCTCATCAATGGTCTTTTCCCAGGGCCTGTCCTAAACTCAACCACTAATAACAATATCGTACTCAATGTCTTTAACCAACTCGATGAACCTCTTCTCTTAGCCTGGAATGGCGTTCAACAGCGAAGAAACTCATGGGCCGAAGGAACTCCGGGCGCTCAATGTCCTATCCCTCCTGGTACAAACTACACTTACCATTTTCAAATGAAAGACCAGATTGGAAGCTATTACTATTATCCCACTCTAGGGTTACAGAGAGCAGCTGGTGGATTTGGTGGTATCACCATTCACAGCAGGCCGTTGATTCCAATCCCATATGATCGTCCTGAAGCCGAGTTCACCGTTTTGATCTTTGATTGGTATGCTTAAACTCTTTGTATTAAGCAAGGTAGTCTATTTCACCACAAATAACTATTTGGTTAGAGACATCTTAAGTTTTATGCAGTTTTAATCTATATTCTTCTAGTTTTGATTTCTTTATCTCTAATATTCCATCTATTACTTTTCTTTTCTCAATTTTTTGTCCTAATAGAATAACTCAAGATACCATGTTAAATTTCTCATGTTAAGTGTACTCGAGGGTAGTCTTCTTTATCAAAAATAGCTTGAACCATTTGGTTAAATACACCTTAAACGTTACATACTCTTAATCAGATTTCTAATTTTCAGATTGGGAGACTTCTTTGACTTCTTTTTCTCTAATAGGTATACACAGAGCCATAAGGATTTGCAGAAGATGTTGGATGATGGTCATGGACTTGACAGACCTAATGGTGTGTTGATCAATGGGAAAACAGCAAAAGGTGATGGAAAGGACAAGCCAATGTTCGTGATGAAACCTGGGAAGACGTACAAATATAGAATCTGTAATACTGGTTTGAGAGAGACACTCAACTTTAGGATTCAAGATCATCGCATGAAGCTTGCGGAATTGGAAGGGTCTCATACGATGCAGACCTTTTATGATTCAATTGACGTTCATGTTGGACAATGCTATGGTGTTCTTGTGACTGCTGATAATAAGGAGCATAGAGATTACGTCATGTTGGCCTCCACTAGAAACATCCACGCAAATCCTCATCTTGTCGGTAAGGATACGATTGTTCTCACCGGTAAGGCGATCATTCGATATGTTGGCGGTCACGGTCCTCCACCGGTGAAGCTTCCAGAAGCACCTGTTGACATGCAATGGTCGGTGGATCAGTTCAAGTCGTTTAGATGGAACCTGAGTTCCAATGCTGCAAGGCCTAACATTCAGGGCTCATACAAGTACGGTCAGATTCCGATAAGCCGAACAATCAAGTTGGCGAACACGGTGGGGAAGGCGCAAAACAAGCTTCGTTATGCCATCAATGGAGTCTCACATGTTGATCCTGAGACTCCTCTCAAGTTGGCTGAGTACTTTGGAGTTGCAAACAAGGTGTTTAAGTATAACATAATGACTGATAATCCGCCAGCCAAGAGAGCGAAGATCATTGAGGAACCAAATGTCATCAACATTACGTATCGTAGCTTCGTTGAGATCATTTTTGAGAACCATGAAGATAGTATGCAATCTTTTAACTTGGATGGTTACTCCTTCTTCGCAGTTGGGTACGTACTTTATCATTATTGTTGTTGTTATGGATTCATAACTTTTGAAGGTACATTTAATTCCATATTTCTACAAATTTGCTAAGAATATATGATGCATTCTCAATTAGAATTATTTATCATATTAATATGAAAATTTTATCGGTAAGTAATATGTATGTGAATATTTATATAAATACTATTAAATATAATTAATCTAAACTTTTTTAGATGATAAATATATGTGTGTTTATGTGTATAATAATTTCTTTTCCCCTCAACACTAGCTAGTCCACCAATAGCTAATTTGGATTGTTTCATTGTTTTATTAGACAATAACTTTTTCTTTTTAATTTTGATAACACAAAATAACTTATTTTTGAACAATTCTTGATCTTCTAACCTATGACGGTTTATGATTCTATATTTATAAATAAAATTTATTCTTAATATATCTAGATTACTGTGCTGATTGAAAGCTCAAATTTAATTTACTCAAAATAATAATGCATAGTTTCTTTCAAAAAAAAAAAAAGAAACAAATAGAAATCCATTCAAACTTCAACATACAAAATAGATTTATGACAATGTTACAATATTACAGTCAAGGAGAGTAAGTGATACAAAAGAATGTGACTATATAATTTGAACTCGACATCGCGTACATATATATATATATATATATATATATTACTAGGGAAATATTTAGGGAGCAAGCAGAGGTGCTCCCCCATGTTACAAAAATTCTTTGAAATTATTTTATGTTTATTTTTAAAAATTATTAAAACTAATTTTTAACCTCTCCACAATCATTATTAGTTTTGCTTCCTCCCAATAGATGCGCTTCTAGATTCATCCTTGATAATTACACTTCTTTCAAGTTCCTACTCTCAAAAAATACACTATTAAATCCAATCATTTTTTTTCGTGATGTTAGAGGTTGAAGACTTGTCAATATTTTGATTATCTAACTAATCACGAGTAATATATATTATTCATTGTCAATAATATATAGAACAGAGCCAGGCGTGTGGACTCTAGAGAAAAGGAAGAGCTACAACCTTCTTGATGCAGTCAGCAGACACACAGTGCCAGTGTTCCCTAACCATTGGACAGCCATACTCTTAACATTTGACAATGTTGGAATGTGGAACTTAAGGTCAGAAATGGCAGAATATCGCTACTTAGGTCTTCAACTTTACATTAGCATTCTCTCAGATTCTGTTGAGTTCAGAGACGAGTATAGCCTTCCAGAATGGCAACTTCTTTGTGGTATTGTCAAAAACTTGCCCAGACCAAAACCCTAAGTCTTGTCATCACCATCACCATCACCATTACCATCATATCTAGACATCTTCAGGAAGTTTCATATCCTAAGCCCTGTGCAACAATAGCTTGAGGTTGGATGCCACACTGTTCAGTGCAACTTATAGTAGTTTATATATATTGATGCTTTCTCTAATATGTAATAATTAGTTCCATGTATGAATTTAATTCTTTCACTACATGATGTTCATCTTGGAACAGAAAGAATCTAGTACAATTGACTGAATTTGAATAGACTATATCGTATCTTTGTGCATCTTTAAAAAGATAGACGCGCGGTACAAATATGATATTAATGATTGATCAAATCACATCAATCCTTATTATTTTTTAGTTTTTTATTTTTTATAAAAACCTTGAATCAACGAGATGTATCTAGATGGCCCAGTTCATATAGATGACCCCAAATGTGTAGGGAATCTGGTTCTTGAGTTGAATAGTGTCATTTTTTGTTGTTTTTGACTGATAGAAATGTATTGTGGTATCTTTTTTTATTTTTTGTGTGAATGATTTGGCCTTAAACGATCAAGTGTAGCCTCAAATACAATATAATATTAACTCTCAAATTGTAGTTTGACGAGTTGTTTCTTCTTTGAAAGTATAATATTATTGTATGTGTGTGTGGTTAAGTTTGGGGTTGTATGTTGTATGTCCTGGGTAGGGTGAGGTTGTATGTTATGTGTTGGGTGACAAGAGTGTCTCTTCTCTTCCAAAATAAAATACTAGATTTACCTAAGTATAGCCTAAGGTACAATCGAGGTTATTTCCCTTGGAGTGGCCCAATTGATTATGAGGTTATCTAAGTGTTACAAAGTTAATCAATGTAGTGAGAGTTTGATTAAGCTAAACTATACCAAAAACACTAATGAAAACAAAGCTACTAAAGTTAAGTTGTTTACCCTTATGAGTGAGATGGAACCTTAGAGCTTTGATTGATGAAAGAATTACTATCTTACATTAACTATGGCAATTATTTGTTAGCTTCTCCTCTTGGCTGAATTAGATCTAGAAAACTATCTTAGACTACTCAACTTAGCTAGTTCAATTTCTTAAGTAATCAACTAATGTCATCAGTTGTCATGCTTGGAGAATCTAGCCTCGTGAGATTTGAGCCAAGCTTCTCATCATCATCTTCAATTTTGTCATGCTTCTCCCAACTAGGCTAAACCAAGCTTCCATCTTCAATGAGTGATTTGAACATTCAATCCTTGTATGATTCTAAGGCTTTGGAAAAGATCTAGGAGAGGAAGAGAATGAGAGTAGTCTTGTGTGATTTGGTGAAAAAATGAGAGAAATAAGATAGATTGAATGGAAGAGAAAATTGATGAACAAGTGAAAAAGTGAGATAAAATGTTTGGAGATGAGAAAATTGATTAAAATTTGAAATGAGAGAGTGTCACACAAAATAAAGTGAAAATGAAGGAAAGTGTAGGAAACTATGCAAGTGGTTTTGGTCTTCCAACAAATACAAACTTGGCCAAAACAAACTCTCTATTTTAGAGGGAAATGGTGAGAATTTCAATGCTCTCTTTTGATCCTATGTGATGCACCATTCCAATCTTAGTTTGCACCTCCATGAGTACTCTTCTTCATGCCACTTTTTCCCCTGAAAAATTCTTTGATTTGCTTTGAACTATGTCTGCATATCTCACATTAATTCACCCATGTCACAATTTAATCAAATAATCAATTCATCATAGTATGATGTTTATTTGTTTGGAGTGAGGTAAGAAATATTTAATTAGACCTAGGTGATAAAATGACTATGGGATACACACATGTGAATAAAAAAGCATCACAAGACACAAGGTTATAGATGCACACACTTGAACCAAAACCTAAAGCTAAGTAAAAGCCACTTAGAGAGACAACCTTAAAGTATGTCTTTTCCTATTAACTGTTAGCCTAAGGTGAATCAATAAAAACTAATTTGAACAATCATCTTAGGCTATCGAAATACATAATTCTAATGCATAACATGTAAGTCATGAAAAAGTGCATTTTATGACCAAAATACCCTTAATGCATGTCACCTCTAGACTTAGACAATTATGTACAATGGATGTAGTATGAATGCATATAGGCATGTAAAATGGTTTAAATTGTAAGGTCATCATTACTAATCCACCATTAACATCCTAAAATCATGGTAATAACTAGACTAATCCAATTAGATTGCTAAGTTTGTAATATTTGTGTAAATGGGAACCTAAGTTTTCATGTCCTTGAAACACTTAAATACACATTTATGAGTTATAAATTAGAATGAAATAAGTTTATGGAAGCATGATATATAAAAATTTTAACAAAGCATTTTAATAATAGTTAAAAATAGCAAAATAGTATAAAGAATAGGGGGTGTGCCATGGCTTGTCCTATATGTCGCTACACATCTCTATTCATGCCATGCACCATGGCACATTGCACACTATGATAGCATTGATGCTATCAAATGATAACATCTCAGGGTGAACTTCCAACATGCCTTATTTTTCCACTCGATGTCTAATTGAGGTGATCTAGGTATCTATAAAAAGCTCTTTTCATAACCTAGCTAGTGGCATGGGTTTTACTCCTAAATAATTTCACATAAGAAAGTTAGACACCCAAATATATTTTTTCAAAATTTCACACCTTTTCACATAACAAGAGTGTCTATAAACTTAGTACATGTGCCAAAAGCTACCACTAACACCTAATGTAAAATCTTAAAATTCAAACTTTGAATTTTTAGCGTTTATAAGGGGTAAATTAGTAAAATTGAGTAATTAATAAGTTAATAATATTTTTGGACCACTAATGAGGTTATTAGATCATTAGCTAGCCTTAGTAGAGGGCTAGATGGGAGTTTGTGTAGATTAAGCATCAAGTGAGGCCTAAAATTCAATCTAATATCATTGTGCCATTCATTGTGGTGGATGCACCATGCGCCTTAGTGAATGCATGAAAAAATGATTTAATTAGATTGTGTGCATGAACTAAAATAGAAAGGGAAAAGTATAGAATGTGAAGGGATGATGGAGGAAGGGTTCTTCTCAACTAGGCTTCACTTTATAGGCATTTTGGAGGCAATTGGAGATATCCACTCTCCTTCCTCTCTATGCAAAATTTATATGAGTTTGGGTTTTTTTATGGTTAATTTTGGTTTCTCTTGGCTTTTGACTTAACCTATTAGCTTAGTTAGGGTCTGGGGAGTCAAATCATATTTCTAAACCTAGGTTTGAGGATTTTATAGTGATTTGGGATTTTTGGTCAGGGTTTGGACAAGCCCTAAGTAAAAATTAGGAGATTGGAAGCAATGTGGGTGAAGAATTGATGTTAAGTAAGTGTTTAGGTGTTAAATGAAATTTATGTAGTTTGTTGTAAGTGTCAATTTTGCTAAAAAAGAAATTTGGGCATAGTCAGTACCCAACATTATACCAAAAAAGGGGTTCAATTAGAGTTATAATTGATTATTAGTATTTAATTTTGTAGATTAAATTTTGATTGAGCTCCATTAATTTAGTGGGTTGTTGTGGAGTAGCTATTTGCCACATTAACCCTTTTTGTGACAAAAGAGTTGACGTAATTGAATGATCTTATCTTCTTATTTGTGTATTTGGATGGTTGTAAGAAGTGAGAAAACACCTATATTATTTTTTTTGAACTAGTATATTATTTTGTAACATCCTAGAATTTTAAACCCAATTGATTAGGTTCAATGAGGGTAATTAGTGAATTGATGAGGTGTGCAGTCAGAGGGGTATAATAAGTGTATTAGCTTTTGAGTTTAGCTCTAAATGTGGGTTTGAAGTGGTGTCAGGCTACCCAGGTATCAAAAGTAGAGAGAAAGTTAAGGAAAGCTCCCTGTGCCATGTGTTGTGACACAAGAAATGTCCGTCGAGCCCACAGAGGCAATTAACATGAACAGGGCCTCTTTATACCACGCACCTATTAGATCATTTATTTTAATGATTACAAAACCAAGAGAAGAGGTATTTGTTATGTGTGTAGATATAAAGAATTATAGATGAAGACAAAACCTCAAGAGCATGAAGAATCAAGAGAAGATGAAGAAGTTCAGGATAAGTAATTTAAATTCTCTTAGATTTAATGTGAAAACTTAGAGAGCTTAATCACAATTCTTAATCACTAAATGAATGCATCATATGTCTCTTTTATATACATTAAGACTCATCTATATTGAAACTTGCAAACAATGGCCTTCTTATGTATGGTATTTTATGGAAAAAGTTTGTATAGTGAAGAGGTAGCATCGTGTGTGATTCTATAAGTCACTCATGAGTTTTTGCATATTTGGCACACTGATAGCTAAATCACGCAAGTGCGAAGAAGTGCTTCATGCGTGATTAAGCACTTGTGTTGTATGCTGCCTTTTACTTTGTCTTTGTATGCAAAACCACATGTGGAAGGCTTCATTGTCCATGTAAGTTTAAGCACTTGTGCTTCATTGTTTTATGACAAAGTGTAAAACCATGCGTGAGACTGATGGTAGCTGTGCATGATTTAGCACTGGTTGAACAATCACACTTTTTTTTTTAGTTTTAAAACCTCTCAAGTCAAGCTAAAATTGTTCACATGTATCATCATTGATTCATAAATCCATATCTCTTGATTATGCAAAATCTTACTTGAGTTATGCTTTATTCTATGTGTGAATATGTGTCAGACAAATTTATGCATTAGTGCTTGTAATATCACGCATCATATATTTTTAGTTCCACACAAGTTTTGATCACATTGAATGGCTTTGGCATTTTGCCAACCATTTCACGTGTGAGAGAGTAGGGGTTCCACACATGATTTGTCACATAGAACTAATGATAGTTCTTTATGTGCAAAACCATGCGTGAGAACAAGTAGTGCACTTGCAAGTTTTAAAACCTTGATATGTTAGTATATTCATAAGTGTAAAACCACATGAGAGAGTAATATGGTACTACACGAGTTTTAACATCCAGAATTGAATGTATATTCATGAGTGCTAAACCACATGAAAGAATATTGAGGTACTATGCATGATTAAGCACACAGAATTGAATGGTTACTTAAAAGTGCAAAACCATACGTGAGAGGACATAGTGTTCACATGTGATCTGTCACATTCATTTTTGAAAAACTTCCTTAGTGCAAAATCAGACGTGATTATACTAGTCATTCATAAGAAAATGTACCAATGGATAGAATCATTGTTCCAACAGTTTGTTAACTTCCAAAAACTATATAAATGATTCATTTT